AATTTCTGCTGTCAGTTGTCCAGTTTTTCCTTCTATGCGATCGCATAGGATAGGCCGCGATCGCATAGAGCAAATTGCTAAGGTTCAGAAATCCCTCTATGCGATCGTATTATAGTCTCCGCGATCGCATTGTACAAAGCTCAGCCCACATTTATTTTCCCCTATGCGTTCGCAACCTCACTCCTGCGATCGCAGAGCTCATCCAACCTGACCCTATGCGATCGCGTCCCCTCTTCTGCAATCGCATAGGGCAATTTCGCCCAGTGATTTTAAAAGCCTAAAAACAGAACAGTGACGGGAAAAACTCCACAAAACACACGAGCTCTTCTTCTCCACAGCCCCTAGGCGACTTGTAGAGCGATTCTTCACCAAATATTCTTGGGTAAGTATTATCTAACTTGTTTCTTCATTTTCTATCATCATCCATCGAAATCCTAGGCCTAAAACATGTAATCTAGGGTTGAAATTGGGGGAAATGGGTAGAGTTAGGGCCTTTCGATTTTCTTCGATTTAGACCTCGTTTTGGGGTCGAATTTGAAAACAAATTGTATATTCGGGCTCGTGGGGGAATGGGTGATATCGAATTGGTTCGAACCTCGTGTTTTGACCAAGCGGGCCCGGGGTCGATTTTGGAGTTTTTGGAAGAAAGGTTGGGAATCTATATTTAGGCATTGGGTTTAATTTGTTTAGCTATTATTGATGCTATAAAGTCGTTATTTCATAGATTTGATTGAGTTGGAGCCGAATTCAAAAGGGAAAGCGGTCGTTGTGGATTGATTTAGCTGTGGAAGTTGAGGTAAGTGTTTGGTTTAACCCTAGCTTGAGGGAATAGGAGTTGAGTCTTGTTTGCTAATTGCTAAATGATTGAGTACGGTGTATAGGCATGGTGACGAGTATCTATACACTGGTGTCTAGCATGACCGTGAGTCCGTATATTGTGTTTATTCCTATTTTGTTGTGACTCTTCCTCGTGTAATTGATGAACTCTATATAATGTGAAGAGTATGAGAAAGAATTATGATTTGTGAACTCTTTGGAGCGTTGGCTCGAATGATAAAGTAATTATTGAGTAAGAAAAGAAAGAAAGAGGAAGAAATGTGACTATTCCCTTGCCGGACCGTATTCGTATATTGATTACCTCCCTTACCGGGATGTGAAAGTTATTATTGTTGTTCCCTTGCCGGGATTCAATTGGTTACTTGTGTTTTCCCTTGCCGGGACTTCTATTACTGTTTGTCTATCCCCTCGCCCCATTGTTTGTGATTGTTGTTTGGGTGAGGACGAGTGATAAAGCACGAAGGGTGATGCCGTACACGATTGTGATATGAATACTGATGCACGAAGGAACATTCCGTGCCCTGTTTTGATTATTAATGCACGAAGGAACATTCCGTGCCCTGATTTGATTACTAATGCACGAAGGAACATTCCGTGCCATGATATGAGTGTTATGCACGAAGGGTCATTCCGTGCCAGCATTTTGTGAGGTAAAGCACGAAGGGTGATGCCGTGCACTTTATATGATTGTTTGGGTGAGAATGAGAGTAAAAGCACGAAGGATGGTGCTGTGCAACTGTTGATTTCCTAATATCGCTGCCATTGTAGTTGTACTGTTTCATTCCTCAATTATTGATTTTATACCTGAACTGTTACAGCCCCTACAGCATGCTCCCCCTCCCCCCTCCCCCCTTGACTGGTTAATTTCTGTATACCTTTATATTGCATACCTATATATTGAACTGCACAGGTTTGTTTGGTAGTCCGGTCTAGCCTCGTCACTACT